GTGGAATCTAAGGAACAAAGTAAACTTATGAACAAAATAGATCCAGAGACATAGAAGCATGGAGCAGACTGAGGGATCTCAGAAGGAAGGTGGGGGTGGGTGGTTGGTGAGAGATTAGCATAAGAATTTATATGCATAACCCATGGACACAAACAAGAGTGGGGTGAAGGCCTGGGGGAGGGGTACAGGGTGGAGGGAATCAATGGGGGAAAAGGGGGCCATTTGTAATATTTTCAACAATAAAGATAAATTGAAAAAAAAAAGACACCCCTGTTCTAATCTACTCTGTCCCCTTTCCAAGGGTTCGCAGTATCTGCTGCTAAGAAACGGTGCCTTCCTAACAGTGTGTCACCCTGGGAATGGTGAATGAGAGCGGGGTGTGCAGGCCGACCTCCTGTTTTCGCGGTCCCTCTCGGCTGAAGAGCTCTCTGCTGGCACCTGGTGGAACACACGAGGAACTGCTCATGTGCCCCAGGTGGAGACAAAAGCCTTCCTGCTCCATCATCTCTCTTGCCTCCAGCTGCTGGGGGACAGCTAAGACCCATCCTGGGCTCCACCTGCTGCGCTGTCTACCCCGCCGCGCCACAGCTTTGGGAAGTCCTCAGCCAATGATCAGCCTTTCGTGGAATGAACTGCCACGGAGACAGTTGCCCCACACCATCTAAGCAAGGTGAAGGGGGAGATCAGGCCCAGAACGAGGGAGAAGTCGAGGAAGGACCAGAGGGGTTCAACAAGCGGGAAGGAGGAAGCCAAGAAAAGCAAAGATTAAACTCATCAGCCGGGAAACACTGCCCTTGGGGGTGTCAAACATGTTCAGACAAACAGTCAGAAAACAAATCCAAAAACACTGTAGTACAAAGATGAAAAGGTAAAATGTCTCGCCTCAATATAATATATCAAGAGAAAGACCTATTCATTGTTACAAAAATAACAAAAGCATCTATAACGTGCATTGAAAAAAAAAAGACAAGAACATCCCCAAACTATAATTATACCCAGAAGGTGGCTTATTTTCTACTTTGGACTTTTCTGTTCGTGGCAAGGTGCTTTATTTAAACTCTGACTTGCTTTATTTTTTGCAGCAATCCTCTACCCCACTCCCAGAAGACAGGAGGGCTCTCTGGTTCCTGGCCTGGAGACGGCTGTGGAGCCAGGCTACAGGCCTATTTCCGGGGCGGGCCCTGGGAGTTGGGACTCAGCACTGTCAAGGCTCCCAGTCTAGGCAGGACCCTCACACAGCAGGCTGCTCCGCACAAGAGTGTTACAAGGGCCAGAGAGCAGGAACCTCAACAGAAGCTGTTGGGGGCCAAACCAGGAATCTCCCAATGCTGTGCTCTGCGAACCCTGGGATTCTGCCCAACACTGGCATGGAGTCTTGGAGTCCGGTTTAGTTCTTTACAGAAAATAACGTGACAATAATTGCATACAGGTGTGAAATAAGATTGGCACCTACTACCTGTTTTCCAAATTTTCTAAACTGAATCCACATTACTTTTATAATCAGAAAACAGGTCAGCAACAAAACTCACATTTAACAACAACAAACAAACAATCTATTTTAAGAGCATTCCAATCAGCCCTGAGTGGTGATTTCATGGATCGGGGGCAGCTCTGACCTTTGAGAGCAGAGTGCCACCCCCTTCCCCCAATGCCAGGGCAGCCTGCAACCTGGACACTATTCCAATAAGCCCAGAAACGCACACATTTTCTTTGTAGCTTCTTTTCTGACTTAGAGGGCAGTTGGAAAATCAAGGAGGTGCAAAAGGACTTTAATGGACAACCGTTTAAAAGTCAGTTTTAAAGGTTCTTTCCGGCAGCAGGCTCACTTTAAATGAAGGCCAACACATCTATTTTGAAAGCGTGTTAAATCGGCAGGGACGGCTGCTTTGCATATCTCGGTCCCAATCCATAAACCACCAGCTCTCACAATGAAGTGTGACCTGTCCTTCCAAGACAAGACTTTCTCTTCCTGACTCAGCTTTGAGAAGGTGAAAATCATACTCAAGAGTGGAAATGACACGAATCATCTCATGGGCAGCAGTCACCCCCAAGCCTCTTAGACAGCAGGTCTCTGCCATGTTCACCACCTGCCTCTTCACCAAACCACCTCCAGCTGCTCTCACAAGGCCCCAGGCTCCCCCCAGCGGGGCTCCCCAGCAGGCTCCCGGGGAGATGGGGAGAGGGCACCGGGAGCCGCATTATTCCTCCTGCCCCTCCCAGCAGTGCCCAGCAGGTGGCCTCAGGAAGGCTGAGCAGCACCAAAAAGCACCAGGGAACTTGCCTTTTCCATCTGTTGCTGAGGCTTCTTGTAAATGCCTGATTGACCTAAAAACAAACATTGGAGAACAAAAGGTTAGCTAACAAATTTGTACTCCCCTCTATTTCCAGGGCTAGTCAGTTGAGGCCCTGAAGTCCTCAATTATAAACTTACAGGGTGAACTGGACAATTTTAGACAGTCTCCCTGACGACATGGTCTTAATACTCAACACTTCAGCTTGAGAGTTAGAGATGCCCTCTGCTGACCAAAAAGTCTGGCAAGGGCCTGGGCGTGAGGATAAACAAAACAAAACATTCTTGATCTCTACCTCATCCTTCATTCCCGCAACTACCCCCCCACCCCCTCCCAACAGCGGAGGCTCACCCAGCTCGCCGGCTCCCTGGACAGAATGGGCCCCATGAGGAGGCCACAGGCCGACTTCTCAAGTCCAGGTCCGGGAGCTGTGAACACAGGCTTCACACAAACTCAGTCTTCACCGACTAGATTTATAACTCGGCTGAAAAACGCAGGCCTCCAGGGAGCCTCTTTTCCCAGACGGGGTGTGTGGGTAACTAATGGCCATCATTCCAGTTTAGGCAGGAGAGCATTAATATTATTAGGAATCACAGTTCTAAGCAGAGTCAGAGGCACCGAGGGAAAGGCTGTCTTAAAGGACCAGCACGGCACAGGCAGGTGGGGCCGGGGAAGAGGGCAGACTCGGCGGGAGTCCCAACACGCCCACCTCTCTCTACCTGTCTGCAAATGAGTCACTTCTCCTAAACCCCCCGTGGTTTGCCCACCTGTGAGAACTGAATGGGCGACACATGAAAGTAGGTAGCTCAAAGGCAACGCCACACCAACGCCGGCTGACTGGGAATATCTTTTTTTCTTTTTTATCACAGAGTAGTTTATAATCAGGCTGCTCAAAAATGACTGAATGAGCCTCAGCATTTAAAAATGAATGTTTTTATGTAACAAAACTTAAACACATTAGATCTTAGTTACAGTAAGACCTGGTACCAACGACTCAGATCTCAGCTGTAAAGCAGCAGGTCAGTGCAGCCCGACGTAATCAGCCCAGGAGAACCACAGCGGGTGTGGCCAGTCCGCACGCACCTGCCCGAGTTACCGCACTGAGCACGTGGGCCGGCACCAAGTTACACCCTTAATGTGTATGCCGCTAAGAGGCCGACAGGACTTCTCTTCCTGGTAACTTCTCAACTCACCTAGTCTCCAGACCATCTATTATCTTTCCAAATACTGTGCATTTCATGTCCCAATGTGGTTGCTGCTTAAGTCATCTCTACAGCACTTGATTTTTCTCATTTTACAGCAATTTTCAGAATACTCACCTTAATGAAGCTTGCCACGTGGCATCTGCTTGTTAGTGCTATAACTAACAAGGTGCAGGAAGTGGCCATTCGCAGCACCCCTTGACCCTACCACTTTGCTGAATGGCAGGTGTGAGGAGAGTCTTACTCTGTTCCCTAACAACAGGATGCTGTTTTTAAAATTTTATGTGTTTGAGCCCAACTGATGATATAATGCTGGGAACACAATCTCAAATGCTCCCAGGATGCTCCTTCCACCTAAGACCCTGCTGGTGATCCCGTCCCAGATGCCTGAGTTTACTTATTCCAGGGCATGATCAAGGAGGCAGAAGAGGTTAAACATCTCCTTCAAGCTCTCTTCCCTGCTGGACCAACACACATACACATGTGATGTGTGATGGAACAAGGTTAGGACTAACCCTAATTGGCTGCATAAGAACCACACTCTGCTGACACCATGTCCTAAATAATCAGAGTAAGTAAATGGTCTACAAACCCAGGATCCTAAAAAATGTTATACTGAATTATGTGCTGGGGGAACTGCAGTGGGGACACCTCACCTCTAACAGAAAGCAGGTGAATCTGTTGCCTTCAAGTGGCTCTATAACTGGGTCATCACCAGGGGCTCGCTTTTGCAGCCTTTCCCTTGCTTCCCACTGAACCAAGAGTGTCCCTCTCTCCGTGTGAGACTTGGGGACATTTTCTCTCACAAGCACCAACAGCTTTCACACCAGCTATGCACCCACAGCCACCCTTTCCAGAAGCAGGGCGAACCGCTCAGAGACAGCAATGGCTTTATACTAACGCGCTTCCTCCTTTCCATCTGCCGTGGCGAGAAAGCCTACTTATGCGATTTCTTCAACTCCCTTCCCTCCGATACGTGCTGCTGGTGTGCACTGCTGCTAAGCTCTCATTTCCAGACTCTAATCTATTGTCCAGCCTGCGCTAAAAGCCAGCCATGGGCCTGACCAGATCCATCAGAACCCACTGGGGAACCTGACGACACAAAGGCCCAGGCCCTGCCCTGAGACTGATTCGGGTCCGTCTAGGACCCAGAAAGCTGTATTGTTGGCTCTGAGGCCCCGTGCGCTCCCCTGGCCGGGAGCGGTTGGCCCAGCTGCCGCGTTCCACAGACAAGCCGGGGGCGCCGTGCCTCCTCCCCGCCAGTACTCACCACACCACGGGAAAGAGGATGGCCCCGCAGCACAGCAAGTCCACCAGGAACAGAGAGTCCTTCCACAGGCTGTACTCAGTTGCCCCCTCCTCGGTGGACTCTATGATGATGTAGGCCACGTTTGCCAGGACCTACAGAATGGAGAAGCCGGTGAGGCCCCCAAGCATGGGCAGATCCTCACAACAGCAGCCCCAAAAGAGGTGGACACTGTGGGCCCCCAACCTATGGCCACAGCAGTACCACCACTGCTTGCTCTCCCACCAAGATGTGATCTCTGTCTGATCTTGAGCTGTGACTACTCTGACCAACAGAGGAAGGGGGCAGTGACGCCATGTGATATTCAAGGCAGGTAACACAAAGGACACGGCTTCTGCCTGGCTCTCTCTCAAAACACCTTAGGAGCCCTGGGCCTTCTTGCAAGATGTCTGGCTGCCCCGAAGCTGCCATGCTGGGGAGACCACACAGAGAGAGAAAAAAGACACCAGAGGAGCCCCTGCTGTCCCCGCCCCATGTGAGCAAGTCTCCCAGCCCGCAGAAATTGGCAAGTGGAGACTTCAGGAGGACCCAGCCCGGCCACTCTGACTGTAACTGCAGGGGACAGACAACAAGTCAGACCTACCCGGTTAAGCCACTCCCGACTCCTGACCCACAGAGAACTGAGAGAGTGAATGGTGGCTGTTTGAGTCACTGCGTTTGCGAGTGGTTCGCTGAACAGCAACAGCTAACCAGGACGCCTGGCTTTCAGGCATCCAGGGCCGCACCTCACTTCCTGTTTAGCCAAGATGCCCAGGTTCCTCAGTGACAGTAGCTCTTCTAAGTGCTAGAGGATGTCATCAGAGACCAAAGTGGGAAGAATGGCCAATTCCAGCCCAGTGGCTGAGGAGCCACCTCGCTCCTCCCAGGAATGACTCCAGTCTGTCCCCTCTACACAGGACACAGCTCAGTTCCTACCCCCGAGCTGGAGCTGCGTCCGTGTTTGGCCTCTCCTTCCAGTCAAGGCTGTGTTTGTGCAGACCTGTCCTTGAGCTCTTAGCATGTTAGGAGAAGCCCTGTGGCTGCCTGAGACAGCAACATCTAAACACCTGAGATGCTACCCAGCATGTGGTAAACCAGCGATGAGACTTTCTTTCGAATCCACCACTAGGTGTGGATGCAGAGTCTAACTCCACCTCCACTCTCCACGAGGAGGCCGTGCTCCCAATACTCCACCAGGCTTGCTGTCTGCAACCGCCATTTTCCACTTTAACCAAGAATGTAAAATCCGCTGTGCTAGTGCTGGGCAGTCTCTGAGTGGATTCTCTTTGTCTAGGACTAACCAGTTAAGTCATCACAGAAGCTACGTTAAGGGTTGCATCACTTAACGCTAATGCAACGATGATCCTGAAATGTCAGTCTCCCGCTGACACCCCGTCTGGGTCCCCCGAAGCCCCTTGTATACTCAGTGCCTGGCTCCATGGCTCCGTCTACGAAGACACGGTGGAGAACAGGCTTTCGCAACCTGAGTTCCTAATTGCACCGTGTCCTCGGTTCCCACTCATGGGTGCGGGTGCAAAACCACAGGCGGTCACACTCTTGAAAGGCCATCTGTCCTGCCGTCACCTCTCACTCAGGAACGGGCAGTGGCTCCCCCATGGCTAAAAAGGAGCCGTTTTAACTTTCAGGCTGATGTTGAAGGCCTGCCGACACCAGTCCTCATGTTTAAATCCACGAACTTCCTCAGGTTTGCTTGTTAAATGTCATTTTCTCGGGGTGAGCTGCCATGCAGCCCTGGGCGCTGCTCCCCCAGAGGAACACCCGTGGGCAGCAGGCAGGGCTGAGCCCCGTCAGTTTAGGCCGGAGAGGAAGTTCCCACTGAAGGGGGGGAGCAGCTACTAGAGGGCAAGGAGCACAGGGAGCAGTGCAGCAGAGCAGGAAGAGGCCCAGGCCCCTTACGTTCAGGCTCTAGGCCCTGCCAGCAATGGGGCCCTAGTGGCTCAACAGCCAAGACCTGGACAGCTTAGCACCTCTGTCCACTGGACAGCAGCTCTCACGGTGCTGCTACTCCTCCTTTGCCTCTGTCATCTTTGGCATCTCTTTCCTCAGGTACCTAGGCAAGGCCTGTCTACCATACAGCCACCCAGATGACGGGAATTTGGTGATCAGTCCTTCCTTGGAAACCTTCAACAACTGGTCTGTACCATTTGCTTGGCGGCAACGTGTACCCCATCACTGAATGTGGCAGTGGCTCTGCTGTCAGAGCTGGCAGGCTGATGTGGGTGCCCAGGAGCTGTCCTCTGCGCCCCCTGCAGTTACGCTGTGCGCCAAAACGAGTCCAGGTGACACAAACACCTTCATGGGTCAGATGCACTGCGGTCGAGTGGGGCAGAGTTGTGCACCCCTGCTAGGACCCGTCTGCTACAAGCTCTTTCCACCCAGTCCCGCCTCCAGTAACACAGCTACCTATGCCAAGACAAGGCTCCTCTCCCGAGGGGCGCACCGCCTGCTGAGGCTGGTCGCAGCCAGGGCCCACACAGGGAGGCCTTAACAAACGTCTGCCCGAGGTCTACTTCATAGTCTACCTTGTGGGGACCCACTGGTGTCATTCACAGTTTTAAAATAATTTGTTAACAAAATTGCTGTGAATCTGAGCTTCTCTGCTAAGAGAAGCCTCTGGTTCCAGGGCACACAGGTGCAGAAGGGAAGGTGGTCATCCCCCTACCGTCTCAGCAGCTCTCTGTTCAAGCGCAGGTGCCCGCAGGCATGTGGACCCCCTTACCTGCAGCGGGATGACAATCATGAAGATCTTCTTGTCCTTGTCGGAGAGGATGTGCTTGATGAAAGCCCAGCCAGTGCCGATGAGCGCGATGGTGAAGAACAGCAGCGCCCCCTTCAGACTGGGAAAGAAATAGTCAGAAAGACACAAGGGGGGCTCTTCAGATTCCCCCCTGAGGTAGACTCTAGACCTCATGCTATGACTTCACGTACTTCCTCGAAAGACAAGTGGCCAAATCCAGGAATTTCATCTTAAGTGAGCAAGACCTTCTTCCAGAGCACGAACAGCTTTGTACCCCACTACCTGAGCGGCCAGTCCCCACAAGGAGGTAACCCCTCCCAGGGGCACGCCAACAGCCCCGAATCCTCAGGTCTAGACAGCTCCCTGTACCCCGCACACCTCTGACATGGCAGGAACCCAGACTGCCACAGGAGGGCATGGCCAGTTAACCTGGGGCAGGTCTCTTCCTGCCATGGCTTCCTCAACATCTCCTGTATGTCACGCCCCAGTATGAGCATGTCATGAGCCACCTCACATACTTACAGGTGAGTGATGTAGTACACAACAGCCCAGCCTTCGATGGGAAAGCCCTGAGAGGAGATGTAGTGGTAGTCGATCTGCAATCAAACACCGCAGTTCAGGAGGGTCGATAGCGGGCCACCCGCCCAGTGCAATCCCACAGGAAATGCCACAGAAGCCCTCAGGATGGGGTGTCTAGTGACTCGCTTGTCAACTCACAATAAAGCATGTGAGTGTACTAACAGTGTCACGCCAGCTTGAGAAGCTGACACCGTTTCAGTGTCACTAACACGCAGCCAAGATGCCTCTCTCGAGGGAGGCGATTCCCCCTGCAAATGGCTGCCTAGTCTCTCCTTTCCCATCTCCATGGCCCAAATGTCATAGGTCTGCTCAGTGTTCCAACCAAGAACTTTACCTTTCACACCCCAGCTAGTCACTCAGTAAAAATCTACCCAGCTTAGAAAACTATATTTTCTTTGGGGGGAAAAAAATCTGTAAATCTAAAGCTACCTGAAGCCACCAACTCATTTTAATCAAAGGGGCAAGTTTCGGTCGTGAACCTAAGATGCTTCCTGGCAGAGCTCACAAAGGTGACACGAATTTCTTCCCCACCGTTCACTCGGTCACACATGCCTACCTAGACACTAAAGTGACTCGAGGATCCTATAGTTCATTACCTACATGTTTCCAGGAAAGATCTTTAACTCAGCTCCAAATAAGAAACAATCCAATTAATGGTCATTTCCTGAGACTGACTGGATATTATTACTTTTTCTGTGACAGCATTTTTTACGTACAGAAGGAGCACAGGTCTGAAGATGTCACCTGTGGGTGCCTCGCAGGCCTACACACTGGGAAGCTGGGATCTTACTCTCAGGGGCAGCTAAGGTCAATTTGCATCAGGACCAAACATTCAAAACTTCAGCTCATTTTATGCCTCCATCTGCAGAGCATTACTTCCTCTCAAATAAGGGGGCTAACACTGAACTTCAAACCAAACATAAGGGAAGGTTTGGAAAAGGAAGGGAGTTGTGGAAACACTTCAGCAGGTGGCACTCTAACCTCAAGAAATGACCCAAACCAACAAAACCAAAAACAAAGACATAAAAACAAGCCCATGTTCTAAGAAAACTCTGGGCCTGTGGCTAACATCAGATGGTATCCTCCATCTGGTATCAGGGAGGCTCTGACGCTTTATGCCCACGACCAGCCCCCAGGTCAGAGGCGGCTTCTTTCCCCTGGTGTCCCACGGATCTATCCCCTTTCTCCTAACTGATTTTTCCTGATCGTATAGACATTGTACATCATTTCATAAACAGCCCCAAAAAGGTGATACATACTGCGTGGAACACCAAGGAAAGAGACTTGGTGAAGGGAAGGGCCGCCATCAGCCAGTGAATTTTAAATACTTCGTTCCTATAAAAAGAGAAAGAAAAGAATGAAAGAAGTACTCCAGTCTCTCAGGGCAGCCAAAGCTCCAGGCATCAGGCATATTTACAAATATAATCTAAGCAAACCACAAACACAAAGCCTTTTTAAAAGTCATTTGTCAGTAGAGCAGGCCTAGAATGAGTCCGAGAGTCGCCTCCACCCCTGAAGTAACTGCTGTGGAGGGAACTGAGTCATCTGAAGCACAACAGGTTCTGAGTCCTGGGAGACAGCAATCGGGATGGGCTTCCTCCCTGCAAACACGTGGGGAAGGCCACAGAAGAGCAGGGTGGATGGATCTACAGACACCTGAGACCCCAGGGAAGTAGAGGTGAATAGATACAGCTGAAGGAAAATGTGCAGCCCAGAGAGGACCACAGGGGACACTCCCACACAGATATCAAGACAGTCTGCAAAGCCAAGCAGTACAAAATGCAGGACAGTGCGGCATCAGACCAATCAACCAACAGAACAGTTATCACGATGTGAGAAAAATAAGAACACAGCTATAGATAGTCTAGTTTAAATATACTAAAAAGGCATGCAACATCAACAAACATTACTAACTTATAATGTACACAAATAAAAAACCACATAATAAACACACTGGAGTGGTTGGGAAGGAGTGTGTGGGGGGGAAATGAAGGGAAAGGAAGGAGGGGCCCTGCTAGAACAAGGAGGCGTGTCTTGAACTAACGCAGGCTGTTTCCGGAATGATTTCCTCCTGGTAATTTCCGGTCCCAGTGCCCAACTACTTGAAGTCAAAGAGGAAGTCAAGCCCAGAGCAACGAGGGTTACCCACAGGGCCAACCGCCCCCTGCGAGAGCAGTGCTCACTCACCCACCCCGGCAACCTCGACCCGCAGTCGTAATTAAAACCTCCCGGCCGGGGCTGTGATGTGAGGGAAAGAACACGGGCTCCAAAGCCACTGGAACTGGATCAAATACTGGTTCTACCCTGACGACCTTCATCTCTAAACCTCAGTAACCTCTTCTGAAAATGGGGCGACAGCTGCCTCCCTCAAGGATCTGTGGGAAGATTAGCTAAATAACCAACACCGAGTGCCTGCCTCAAAACGACAAGCTGCCGTGTTGTCTCCGCTGCCGCAGGGTTCCCCGCCGGGGGGTGCTCTGGGCTCTGGGCCCATGACAGAGGGCACAGAGCCGAGAGGAGCCACACATGCACATAGGAGATTGGGGTTCCGGGCCAGCTCTGCAACAGCTCTTGCTTCCCCTCTCAAGGCCTCAATAAAACAAGGCAAAGGCCTCTCAACTCCTTCCCATCGAAGGGGCTGCAAGCCTGTGAAAGGCACCGGCAGCCATGGAGTCACAGCCTCTCCATGACTCAGATTCGAACCTCACACAGCCGGCTGTGAGACACCCAGGGAAATAAGAGAATGGGGTGCAGGGCTGGAATCATACATTTTTATATGTATACTATCATTCAACAAAAAGTTTAAAACATACAAAGTGGGTCAGCCTCGTATTATTAACCAAGATTTAAACTGCTGCCAGCTTTTATTACATAACTGAACCATGACAGTGACTGTTGTATCACCAAATAAAGGGAAACTAAAGCGCCACTGAGCACTGCTAGTGTGTCCCCCCCGCAGAGCATCCTGACGTGCCCGCCCTTGCTCACATGCACCTCAGGAGCCAAGCTCTCCGAGGAGCCAGCGCAGTGGCCGCTGTCCGGTTTCCTGACTGAGGAAGGACCTGAGTGAAGCCAGGACACGGGCAGCAACAGTCAGCGTCCACACTGGAAACCAGGCCTCTGGCTCCTAGTTCTTACTTCTCTAATGAAGGCAAAGGCAAAACTTGCTTTTAAAAACACAAGCAAAAAAACCAACAACTCCTTATAGGGCCAATTTTGTAGGATTCCTTTTTTCTTATTAGTAGCTGCCTGACCATCTAGTCCAAAGATGATGACGTGGGGTCTTTCACAGGTAAACAAAAAGCTCTTTCCACCTGATGGCTTGCAGGGCATTACAACAAGCAGGAACCGGCAGCTGCTCTGCTAAGCACATGCACTGGGACACAGGCCACCGCAGAGGACAGGGCACCAATTTCTGCCCCGATGCTCCAAAGAAAGAGGTGTTTAGTACTCGGGGTCCTTAATTATTGTACAAATTTAAGTTAACCCACATTATAGTACCACGTTCACATACCATCATTTACATAGTTCATGGGCCTTGCTCTATAACAAATACACTGCCCTTTAACTGAATATTAACATCTTGCTTCTCAGTTTTTGGAGAGAGACAGAGGTAAACACTGGCTCCACATACATGAGGCCTGCAGCTGGTCTCCTCAAGAGCCACGCACAGGAAGTTAAAGCCACGGGGGTTTCGGAAGAAAGGCTAGCGGCCAGGCAGATGGACTGTGATGAGGTTTTTCTCTAGTGACAAGCCCCAGAAGGTCAGCATGGGAAGGTCAGCAACCTCCCAGCCCAGCTCTGAGCCTAGCCCTTTATATGAAGCAGTTACTCATGCTCTTGGCCAGGCCATGGTCACTGTCACTCATGCCCCTCAAGAACAAAGAGCCCTTGGCTGGGACCAACGTGTTCCCTCGGAGTCCTGCGCCGCGGTGTCTTTGCTACGGAAACGCGGTCTTTACATTATTTTGCTCGTACATTCCTGAAACCTTTGAATTTGCCTTTTGAACAAAGCCATGGGAAGTGAGCAAATGCCCGGGTGTGCAGAGCTGCTGCAGTCTCCGTCCGTCTCGTTTCGGGGAGGATGCCCTTGAAGAGACAGGGGTGGCCGTGCCAATCCCCCCAGGTGCAGAAGCCAGCAGAAGGGGAGACTACACAAACCCCAACGCACCGGAAGCCAAAGGGCTCAGGGAAGGAACACTGTACCGTCGCTTTCGAAGGGTGTGAATCCAGATGGTCCCAGAGAGGAAGAAGGCGGCAGCCATGGAGATATATAACTTGGGGAGCGGGATCTCGCCTGCAGAGAGGTAGCTGTCAGGATTCTTCTCTGTGATCTGAATCTGAAATCACGAAATTTATTTTTACTTTTCAGGAACAGATCCTTCCATGTTCAGCAGTTTGTGGTCTCAGCTGTTTCATGTGAGCTTACGAACGTGAGCACTGGGACCACGAGCACAGGCCCAGTGTGCAGGCGGAGAGGGACACACGTCTCACTGCCTTCAGCTCCCCTCTCAGGAGCCCCTGCTGGAGGACTGCCCCCTGGCCACGCTTTTCTCTTACTTTGCCTACGTGGTTTTAAAACCTATTCTTACAGAGAAATAAACATCTCACATTTTACACAGTGGGCAAAACTCACATCGAAGTTTCCATGTGGTACTCACATCGAGGTTGAATGAAAACTTGTCATTAGACTGTATTTTGGGCCCAGGGCACTTATGAAAGTAAAGGCTGTAGAGACCTTCCTGGTCGCTGGTGCTGATGTTGAAGGAAAACTGAAAATGAAGAGGGAAAGATTACAGGGAATCCCCAGAAAGAAACCGCGTGCACTGTGAATGCACGAGCAGACAGACCAGTCAAACGAACCCTCCTCCCAGGGCAGAGTCCAAACCCAGGTTCCCTCTCCTATGGCTCCCTCCCATAGTCAGCTCCAGCAGCTTTCAAGCTAACGGGAAAGCCGACAGAATCACAGCGTGGGCCTCACGCCCGCTACCTGGACCCACGATGAATGGTCTCTCCCTGCTTCATCACTCGCCTGCCCATCAGGGATGGCCTCTGGCAGAAGTCTGCAGAGGTAACCTCAGATACAGTTATCTAGTTTTTGAGCCAACATATTATTTTGCTCTTTAGGTAAAAATACTCCTGAAAAAGGAAGGAGGTCCATTTGATACCTGACAAGGTAAAGAACCAATATTCTGCCCTGGCCAGTGTGGCTCAGTTAGCTGGGCATCACCCTCTGCGCCTAAAAGTGGCTGGTTCGATTCCCGGTCAGGACACGGGGGCTGTCGGATCAATCTCTGGTAGGGAGTGTACAGCAGGCAGCCGATCAATGTTTCTCTCTCACAATGGTGTTTCTCTTTCTCCCTCTCCCATCCTCCCTCTCTAAAAATCAATTTAAAAATCTTTAAAAAAACACACCCACAATATTCTCTCTTTAAAATTTACACCTATGACTTTAAACAACAGTAATAAACACTACATTTTCTACATTCAGACATTTTCCTATGTTTTCCATATATTTCATGTGTTCAAATGAAGTTTAATGTAAATCAAAAGAAATTATACCTACAAGAGCACAGAAGCAACTCCTTGGTCTATTCTAGAGAACACTTTTCTATAAGCCTAAAATACGTGGCTTGGGGCATCATACAGATGGTGAGCTGAGCTGCACAGAAAGGCGTGGAGATGACTGTCCCATTTTTCAAGAGTTACTCTAGAGCTGGGAGGATGTGAGAGGCGTGTGGGGGGCACTGGCACTGTTCCAGCTCCTGTCCCATGATGGTTACAGAGGGGATTCCTACAACTACTTGTACTCAACATAGGTACTAACACTCTTTTGCATATACCCTATACCTTACAATTTAAGAGGATGGGGGGGAAAAGACACCTGGCAAGAAGATGGAAATAAAAGGCCAAGAATTTTCTGGTTGAAATAATCTGTTGAACCATGTCCTGAACTCATCCTGAGTCCACACAGGTAGCCAGAAAGAGAAAATGTTTCTAAGTATATTAATTAACCTTTAGTTATCAAACTAAAACTCACGTGAAGTTTCTAAGAAATACTAAAAAGAAAAAAAAAAAGAACAGAATCATTAAGGAGAGCAGAGCCTCCAACTGACCCTTAAAGAGAACAAAACAAACACAAGGCAAAAGTGTAAATTCGAGAGTTGGAATGAGCTCTGACAGTCTCCTCCTGCTCTGGGGACCAACGATGGTGCCTGCTGTGTGGGTTCTGTGGGTTTGTGGACGGAGCGGAAAGGCTCAGCACGGCCACGCTGTGCGAAATGGGGCGCACCCCGGGCAGCGGAACAGCAGGGAGGGGAGCCGGGGAGAGGCGAGCTGCTGGCGCTGCCTGCTGTACGCATCCCAAGGACCCCACGAACGGGCCACTCGTCCACTGCTCTCAACGAGCACGCCTGCTGCTTTCCCGACACTCACCTGACACAGCATCAGTAACTGACAGGTGTATGTATCCTATATGCTTTCTTTCTGTAATTTTTTTTTTAAAAAAGGCTTTTTATAAAAACATTCAAACTACTTATTTTATGAACAAGCATTTTAAAGTGGGGAAAAAAGAGAAAAGTACCTTTTGTATTTTCTTAAGGAGGCAGTAAAGGGATTAAACACATGGGCCTTGGAGTCAGAAAAACCTGGGTTTGAATCCTCCCCTTAGGCAAGCTACTTAACCTCTCTGAGCCTCAGTTTCCTCATCTGTAAAAGGGGAATAATGACAGCGCCTACTTCACAGAGTTGCTGGGAGGATGAACTGAGCTATGACACATACAAACACTTAGACAACGCCTGGCATTCACTACTCAGGTCCATAATTACTGACGGAGTTTATTATGGGCCAGGTCCAAGGTTAGGAGTCGGACACCTCAATTATAAAACAGAAAAAAATCCCTGCTCTTATGGTCACCCTCTAAAAGGAGAGACTGACAGTAAACGTGATAAATAAGTGCAGTTACAGCATGCTGGAGACAGCAGTGCTATGAGAAAAGCATGGAGCAGGGAGAGCAAAGGGGAGTGGGCTGCATTTAAAATGTGGCGACTGAAGGAAGTTTTGTTGCGAAGGTGATGTTTGAGCAAAAACTGAGGAGCCAGTGCTCCTCCTGGGGAGTACAGTTAAAGCAGAGCCTAAGGCCTGATCTTTCCTAGGAGCAGCAAGGTGGCCTGTGTGCCTGGAGCAGAGCAAGCACGGGAGAGGGAGAGAAACAGGAGCTGAGGACAATGACAGCGGCCGGACCACGTGGGCTCACAAACCAGGGGAAGGAGGTGGGCTTTTCCTCTGAGACAGACAGAAAGCTGCTGAGGATTAGGAGCAGGTGACCACTCCACAAGCTCTCAGTCAGCTGTTAGTATGATAGCTACTAAACTTCAAGAACATAGAAAAATTAGATAGGCAAAATAAACTAATGAAAGCTGGTGAGAAAAGAGGTGGTGATTTTTACAAATAATAAAGGTTATTTGCATAGAGCTTTTAGGAGAACTTTTATTTTTAAAAACTGATATTCCGAACAACCCTCTGAGATAGGTCCATCATTTTTCACTTCTGGATGATGGACAAGCAAGGTGCAGAAGTGAAGTGAATGGTACAAGGTTACCAGCTGGTAAGTGGGTGCTGAGATCCAGCCGAATGTCCTGCCCCACACACCGACTGTGATGCCACCACAAACACTCATGTGCGGTTAATAATGTGAGAGCTGAGCAGGTCTCTCAGGCCTCTGATTCTTAGTGAGCTCATCTAAATTACAACAGCACCCTGAAGGATCACCCACGGTCCCTCCAGGTACAAAATCCTGTGCTTCTGGAGCACTTTGAATGGGAGACAGTGCAGGACTCAAGATGCAGAGCTGTGGGGACAGCCAGGTAGAGCTGTGGGGACAGCCAGGCAGCGCTGGGTTGCAATCTGGGCCTTGTCATTCACATTGGACATTCGTGAAGTTACCCATTCTCAGAGACATGATTTGCTCCGTGGTAGGCGCTAACACAAACCCTGTAGGTTTGCTATGCAGAGAGCTACTGTAGTCAAGTGACTGATACATAGCACACCTAAGTTATTACACCCAAATTCAAAATTCCTTTAAAAATTCACCCTTTACATGGTACAAATCAATTCCACAAAGCTTTACCCACAGATACGTACCCGAAATGAAAGTGCCCCCTCGCTGCTACGAACAGGAAAGGACTTCTCTTCCATTACCTGAAAAACATAGCAACCCCTTTTAGACACTAGGAGAAAAAGCAAGCTAATAAAAATAAAGAAAACACCACCATCCAAATACGTTTTCCTTAAAGCCTGCACTTGTAAAAGCTCCCTGGAAATAAAATCCAGCGTCCTTCCCGGGCGTCTGAATCCCTTCACCGAGGGTGCTCTCTCCCCTTCCCCTGCTGCCTCTACTCGGCCGTCTCCTGCGTCCTCATGAACCCCACTCCCGGCCCGGCCCGGCCCCGGCCCCATCCCCCTGCTGGATCACCGCTCTCCTCTTACGGGTCCACTAAGGCCAGGATGCCAGCCCAGGCCACACCCTGACTCCACTCCCTATTTTACACGAGCGCAAGGAATGAAAAGAAAGAACTGCCGACGCATGTACGCAACGGGATGGGTGAACTGAAAGCATCATGCTGGGTGAAAGGGCACACAACAGACCGTGCGTGGCATCAGCAATCCATGCAAGCTCTGTGAGATCACACAAGCTACAGTGATAGGTCAGTGGTTGCCTGGGGACAGGAGCGTGACGAAGGGGCAGAAACTTCACTACCTTGACTGCGGTGGCAGCTTCACAGGTGGGCACACAAGCCAAACTCATCAAATTGCGACTTTAAATATAATCATCCCCCTCATCCGCAGGGCACACATTCCAAGATGCCCAGTGGTTGCCTGAAACTGCAGATAGTGCCAAACCCTGTATGTACTATGTTTTTTCCCCTACACCCATGCTTATGATAAATTTATAAATCGGGCAGTTTCACAGATACAAGGTTCGTTCTTACTGTAGATCTTAGCAACCTCACCACCTGATTTTTTTTCCTTTCCTTATGAAGTCAAGAACGTTCACCTTTTCATGTAAAGGAAGCTGCTCTTGGGCATATCCGCATCATCAGCATCACTACACTGGCACGACAGGCCATTGGTAAGTGAAACAAGGGAGACCCGAGCACAAGCGCTGCGATGCCGTGGCAGGCAGTCCATGACCGAGATGGCTTCTACGTGACGGCGGGCAGAGAGCAGCACATGCAGCCGGCGCTAGATTATCTAGGATCCCCCTCTGCTCCAAAATAGGTACCTTTTACTTAAAACAGGCCAGTGCCCAGCACCTACTGTGCTCATTTCCACCTCCAGCCTTTGCTTATGACAATCTTCTTCCCCTTCCTTCTCTTCTTCCCCAAACTCCAAGCCCAGTGATGCCTCCTCGCAGAGGACTCTCGGGAGAGCTCGCTGCCCTCCACCCACCACCTGACCCTTTAGCACACAGCGCTGCAACACGCGGCACCCCATTTTACTCCGGAACTGTTTCAGTGTGTCCCCAAACAAGGCAGCTCCCTGTAGATCAGGCGTGTGTGCGCATGTATGCACCTGTGTATGTAGAAAGAGACAACCACGTAGGCACACATACACACATGTCCAGAAAAGCTGGGCATAAGTGGGTGGTTAGTTCTTACCTTTGAATCCACTGTACTTCTTTTAGACTTCCCACTCTCTAGAAGCAGAAGCAGTGAAAAGGTATCACTGTAGGATTCAGCACATATGTATTTACATTTTATGATTAGCTTGTCTAATATAAAATAATTCAAACTAACAAAAAAGGCAAGGCTGTNGTATATGTATGTGTATGTAGAAAGAGACAACCACGTAGGCACACATACACACATGTCCAGAAAAGCTGGGCATAAGTGGGTGGTTAGTTCTTACCTTTGAATCCACTGTACTTCTTTTAGACTTCCCACTCTCTAGAAGCAGAAGCAGTGAAAAGGTATCACTGTAGGATTCAGCACATATGTATTTACATTTTATGATTAGCTTGTCTAATATAAAATAATTCAAACTAACAAAAAAGGCAAGGCTGTATGTCATCTTGTGGACTGTCATCTCTTTAGGGCCCTAAATAATTCTTGAGCTGCAGAAGCAGTGAATAGGAACTTATTCTATTATAAATGCGACCTAGTAAGTGGTAATATTCAGCACGCACAGGGAACTGTCTCTGATAACCTAGTGCATGTTACTGCAGAGGTGCCACGTGGGTGACTTTCCTGTCTAATTATGTTTGAAAACAGATCACTGTTTAAAATAAATGTATATGAGATATACTTACCCACATGGAAAAATTAATAGCAAATAATATTAGCATAATGCATACTTTTCTTTCCACAGCAAGAAGTGTTAAGATTGCTAATGGCTTCTTTCACGGAACAGAGAGGGCACCTGGGCCTTATTTTTACTTATGATACTCGTCAGGAGGAAGACAGGACCTCAAGCTCCCTGCAGGAAGGGAGAGGGTTTCGGAAGGCAAAAGAAGAGAACCCTTCCTGCCCAGGGATGGTCACTGGCATGAGGAGCTGGACACAAAGATGATGCAGGACAGTGAGCCACACCTCGCACAAACGCAGCATTTCTGCACATCTTTTAATTGGGGTTAGAGTTTTGACAAACTTAAGAAAAATGTGTAAGTAATACAATAGGTATTAATTTATCTTTAAAGAACTCATATAAATTGTTAGACAAACCTGACAGTTAATAAAAGAGGTGATAAGTACAAACTGGTTAATCAACATATGGAGAAAAAGTGTGGCCCAATAGTAACAGTGAGTATGAAAACAAGATGTCTTTTCATTCACTCACATACAACCCCCCCCCTACACACACACCCCCACACCCAGCGCCATCCAGGACACAGTGACACAGGCACTAGCCCCACATGGCTTCCGACAGGGGTACATAAACTCACACAACTCATTTGGAAAGGACTGAAAATATGTATGGATATCCTCAGATGTACTCGGATCCTGTGAGCCAGGTATTCCAACTCTGGGAACCCATCCTAAAGAAAGTTCTCTATTTGAAAAAAGTTCTACGAACAAGGAAGTCCAATGCAGCATATTTATAATAGCATCGAAATGAAAACATGTCTCTTTAAAGGGAGAGGCTGAGCAAGTTACAGCGTCCATTTAACGGGACAGCTGATGAGTATAAAGTATCATAAAGTCACCCAAACAGGGATGCTTAAAGCGGCAAATGTGAGCATGAGTTTAAATCAAACGTTCTATGCTTCCGAAACAAGCTTAGAGAAAACCTATCACCAACGTTTTAGCACTGGGGGGGAAGGATGACTGCTCTTTCTCTACCTTCTCCATATTTCCACATTTTTCTTTAATGAGTACACATTTTAGCATAAAATAATGCTAAGGTCACGTTTGTTTTTCCTGAGGAACCAGAAGAATCCACACAGCCGGGCAGGAGAAAATGCTGGTGTCCAGCCCACCTACCTTGCTTTGCCCCAGCCTGGCTGCCTGCCAGAACAGGCTGGCTGCCAGCCTCCTGGCTCTGGCCGGGGACCTGCTCATCCTCCCTGAAGACGATCATCGGTAACTGGGTACCAGCTTCTGGTGGAGATTTTATTTTCACTCTATAGTCAAATAAGAGAGAAAGAAAAGAGTTCAAAGTAATGCTTGTGGCCATGTGTCGTATGCTGGGCACTGCTTCAAGCTCTAATTCATCATCTCCTGAAGTCCTGCGATGTAGATTCTATCACCTGCATTTTACAGATGCTGAAATGAGGCTGGGAAAGGTTAAAGACCTTGCCCAAGAGTAGAAGCTGGTAAGGAGCTGGGCAGGGATCCAGCAGTCTCTCTTGAGGGCTGAAATTCTTGGTAATCACGAAATTCTGATGTGCATACTTTCCCACTAAGTGTCTGTGATGTGGTCAACAAACCGGTATACAAGGGAGACGGAACAACAGGTAAAAGACAATGAAATGTTAACATGAAGTCCAGGGAAGGTGTGAGCGGCCGGGGAACTCGCAGTAGCTGCCTGGAATGCATTTCTTCCCTTCTCCCTCCTTAGCAGACCCCTTGATTACGCCCCCGCAAGAGGGGCCAGTGAGTCCCAAGCCTGCGTGGGCACCTCAGCTAAACTGGCTCAGTCCCGCTGAAGGGAAGCCCTTCCAGCCCTGCCTGGGAGGAGCCTTCCCGTCCTCTCCTTAGCGCCACACGGAGAGCTCGCCACGGACACACCACTCTCTCATGCTGCTCTGCCTTGCATTTAGTGCCCCCTTTGCGGGAAACGCCCTTCCCTTTCCTGTTCCCTGGTGAAATCTACCCGCTAGACAGTGGGCTGGGGCTGGGGCTGGGCCCTCCCTCCTCTCCGTTTGTCAGTCTCTGCGCCACCTCTCTGCTGCTGCGATCACTGGGATGGCTGTTTTGTCTCCCTCATCTGTTTGAAATCTCCAGCTCTCAGCACAGTGTTTGGCAACTGGTAGATACTCAATGAATGTTGACTTAGCGACCAAATTCCCCCAGCTCTACTCTAGGACTGAACAGAAGGAATATTCGATTACTTACTCACTTCTGGAGAAGTTTAGGATTAGGAGGGGGACAGAGACAAACTGTTTCCTTAAAATACAGTAGTTCATGTCTTCATCCTAAGGAAGGAAGACCCAGTTATACACCACCTAACTCGTTCTCACTAGAACAAGAAAGGAAAGTTTTTGGGAACAAGACAAACAAGGGGCCCAACCTCCATTGCAAACAATACAACTGTGGGGTACTGACGCCCAGGAGTCCAAGCAGCCACCACCTCAAGAAAACAGCACGACAGAGGCAGATTCCCACCCGGTGTCCTGAGCTCAGGCGGAGAGCATGCTCGGCCACGCATGCAATGCTCACCAGGTAAGAAGAAAATCCGTCGTTCTTTGTATGGTCGAGGCTGAATCCAATCTAACGGGGTAAGAAGAAGAAAGGTGAATGCCCAGAGGATGGCCTGGCATCCACACCTTCCTACACAAACAGGAGATAAGGCTCTTTCAGCCTGGCCTCCTCTCGGTTTTCTTAGCATTCATTTTGCAAGACGGATCACTGATCACTAAAATTATTCAAGAATTACAACTTAAGTGTTAAAAATAAAATTATCTGGTGCCTGCTCACAAGTTCTATTTTATATACTCGGATACTTCTCATCGGAGGGTGGGGCAAAGCTGTCACCCAGGCAGCAAACGGGGTCAAGCCCTCAGGGTCCTGGGAAGGGACTCACAGTCAGGTCCTTGTCTGTGGCCCCTTCAGGCTCGCGCACCGAGAGGCTGCTCACGTTAACCAGCATGTACCCGTGCGTGAAGAATCCAAAGGTGTTCAGGTGAACCTTGTGCCTCACATCATCCTAAAAAGAATTGCGGTGATGAAATGAATAATATGGAGAAGTCAACTTCATTATTTAGCCTATTCATTTGCTTGAAAAACTATAACTAGTTTCTTGCTAGCTAACCAATGTTTCCATACAGTTCATAAAATATATAGCTGGTGGTACCTTATCTTGTTTCAAAAGCTGAAGATGACTCATCAGAAATGCATAAGGTATCAATAATCTTGCAGAAGGAAGTGCACAACAGGTGCAATTCTTTCTGATGCGTCTGTAACAGTACCGACTCGTGGTCAGCTGGAACGCGAATTCCAGGGCAGGAGGAACCAGGCTGTAGTCATCCTCACACCCTTCCTGCCAGCACAAGGCCTGGTATCCAGTAGGCCCTCAAAAACACGCTGGCCCTGGCCAGTGCAGCTCAGCACCGTCCTGTGCACCAGAGGGTTGCCAGTTCAACTCCCGCTCAGGGAACATGCCCAGGCTGCCAGCTCAATCCCCAGTATGGGGTGCGCAGGAGGCAGCCAATCGATGTTTCTCTCCCCCTCTCCCTTCCTCTCTCAAATCAATAAAAACATATTTAAAAAAAACAAGCATGCTGGGGGTGGGGCAGAGTAGCCAACACTGCTCTGAGAATAAGCTCATTTATATAAACTTTGTAATGAGTTGTGTGCAACTGGCTCCTCCCACCGCAGGGTGATGAAGGATACCTGCACATTACTGTTCTAGCTTATAATTCATTTTTTTACACAGGTTCATTTGCATCTAAAAATTATGTTTTATATGATGGGTTTTAGGAAACAGTCTTATGCAAAAGGAATCCCAGGAACTAGCCAGGGTGGAGGCAGGATCTTTTGGACACAGGGTAATCCTGGTTTGTTGAAATTGAAACACATGGGCAAATGCCTAGCACGCCTGCTTGAAACTGTCTCAAAGGAGTGAATCTAATCCCAACTAAGTCAATAAATTTTAAGGCTGATAAAGATTAACGGGAACTTGAAGCAGTCAGTCAGGAGGATCTATGGGAGGAGCCAGGGCTTAGATGGAAGTCTCGCACTCTAGCAATCGAGAACCCCACAGGAAGAGCTCTGTTTATAATAAAGCTCTATGGTTCATCCTCCCTTAGCTTCCCTTTCCTTCTATAAATACCGCTCCACCATGGGACACAGGCCTGAGTGTGCATGTGGTTGCCATGTCTGCACGCACAGGGTTGCAACCCTTTCTTTTTCCCGAAAAAAATCCTTTCTGGTGATGAAGCCCCTAGTCAATATTATTTTTTCAGTTGGCAAGGCCAACAGAAAAATGGTGTTGTAACAGAGTGGAAAGGCTCCGTCTCTGGGGCCTGAGTGGCTCCCTGGCCCTCAGGCTAACAGCCCCTGTGGGAGACAAGCTAATCATAGGGGAATTCTGCTCTGGGCTGGAGTGTTTAACAAAAACAGCTCCTCCCATTTTCCTTTCCCTTGAGATAAAAGAAGCCTGAACTCTGTTCTTTCCTTAAGATGGATTTGAGGAACCACTAGCACACCCTTCTCGATCAATAAGCTTTTCCTTATTCCAGACTCTGGTGTTTGGGTTTTGGCCTTCTGAAGTGTCGGCAAGCAGACCTTGGACCCGTGACGGTATTAGGGAATACAAAGAAAGCCACAGGTTTCATACTGAGGACTACTTGCCTAAATCAGACACCTTTAACCCTTTGCGGTCGTATTAAATTTGGACATGGGTGTCGTACTGGTCGGAATTAATTTCCACTGAAAGAGCAGTGATACATAACATGCAAGATTATGAAGGATAAACGAGAAATTATGAACTGATACACGAATGAATAGAGTTAAGATTCGTACGGTTCCTTGCTGTGGTGGCTGAGAGCAGACATACAACCGGAACGGTAAAAAAAGCTTTGGTGGCTGAGAGTAGACAAACGACCACAAAGGGTTAATACGTCTGCTGTATGCTAACAGGCGCTAAGGAGGCACTACACTAAGCACTTTTCTTAAACTTACGTTTCTTCCTCCTCAAATCTGCACAGTCATTTTTGCTAGTGTTTTTGTTTCTTGCTCATACTTTAAATTCTATCCTTTGTTTCTCTCAATTTTAAATACAGCTACTTTACAACACACTGAGGTGCTCTGGGGTCTAACTGCTCTGCCCTCTGCTGGCATGCTCAGCGGCTGCTTTGCTGTGTGAGTGGTGATTCTTCATTTCTCCAGGCTTGGGTCTGCTGGACATTAGAGGCAATCTAACTGCAAACACCAAAGGCCTGGGAGGAGAGGCTGCGAATGGACCAGATCTCCCGCAGAAGCATCAGAAATCACCCCTCCCCCAGCACACACAGCTAAACATACATCTTACTGCCATTTCATTTCCTAGCCCACTCTTCCATTCAAGGAAATAGCTCTTTGGGAGTCCCATATTCTGGGCTCCCCTCCCTGCCCAGGTCTAACAAGGCTTTGGCTTCTGCTCCCCCTCACCAGCTGTTCAAATTCCAGACGCTAGGGTCCAAGTTCCTGCAATGCTTCCAGGCAGCCCTCGCTTGTGTTCTTTTACCCACTGGAGTTCAGCTCCTTCTCACCACCTTCTTTATTTTCTTGGCCCCTGGGAATTTCCCGTATTTTCCTAGGAGCCCAACTATGCACTTACAGCATGCTGGCCAGACTTCCACTTCCTGGTAGGACGGAGCCGCTTACAGCAAACCTGCCCTCCCAGGGAGACGCAGGAAAGCCAGCTGCGATAACAGGACAACAGAAGCCACTGCTGAAAGGCACTAGGGAGCTGTGAGAGCATAAAATCCAGAAAGGCTACGCTCACAGCTTCCTCAGGACTGTGAGTGATTAACCCCACAGAAGACGATTTGAGGGACTATTTTCTCAATTCTCGCAAAGGTGTTACAAGGCTCCTATCACCCCAGATGCACAGGAGAGACATAAATTCAACTACATACTACAGATGCCTTAGAACATGTGAAAACTAATATAACCGGAGCCACTTAAAAATGGAGTCAGAGCTGCCATCTCAGAGGAACTGCCTTCTTGGCATTGGTCCAAGCAATGATTTTTTTAATAGAAAAAAGTAGAGGTAACAGAAGCAAAAACAGAAAACTGGGTTTGCATCAGTTGAAAAGCTTCTGCACAGCAAAGGAAACGACTACAGTAACACAGGGAAAAGACGACCTACAGAATGAGGAAAATATTTGCAAACCACATACCTGATAAGGGGTTAATATTCAAAACACAAAGAAACTCAAACAACTCAACAGCACGAAAACAAATGGCCTGACTTAAAAATGACAGAGGATCTGAAGAGACATTTCTCAAAAGACACACAAATGACCACCAGGTATGGGAACAGGTGCTCAACATCCCTAATCGTGAGGGACATGAACCTCACGCCTGTTAGAATGGCTCCCGTCAAAAGACAAGGGTTGACAAGGATGTGGAGAGAAGGGAACCCTTATGCGCTGTTGATGGAAATGTAAATCAGAACAGCTGTTATGGAAAACAGTATGTAGGGTTCCTCAAAAAATTAAAAATAGAACCATATGATCCAGCTATCCCACTTCTGGGCAAAAACCCAAAGAAAACAGAACCACTGTCTCAAAGAAATAGCAGCACTCCCATGTTCACTGCAGCGAGGATATGGACACTTCAGTGGCTGTCTTGGGGTGAACACACACACACACACACACACAGTGGGTTATCATTCAGCCTTAAAAGGAAGGAAACCTTATCATCTGCAACAGGGATAAGACTGTAGGACGGTATGCTCAGTGAAATAAGCCAGACACAGAAAGGCACATAGTGCATGATCTCACTTACATGTGGAATTTAAAACTGTTGAATTCTTAGAAGCAGAGACTAGAATGGCGGTTATGGTAATGGGGGCGGGGGGCAGAGGATGGTAGAGGGCACGGAGACGCCGGTCAAAGGGTGCAAAGTTCCAGATATGCAGGATGACATAACTTCTGAGCTCTAACGTACAGCACGTGACTAAAGTTAACAATGCTGACCGTACACTTTACATCTGCTTAGAGAGATCTTAATTGTTCTCACCGACAAAAGGTAGCTATGCCAGGCGATGGATACGTTCACTGGCTTGACTGTGGTCATTTCACAACGTACATGTATATCATACGTTCACCGGCTTGGCTGTGGTCATCGTTTCACAACGTACATGTATATCATACGTTCACCAGCTTGGCTGTGGTCATCGTTTCACAACGTACATGTATATCATACGTTCACCGGCTTGGCTGTGGTCATCATTTCACAACGTACATGTATATCATACGTTCACCGGCTTGACAGTGGTCATCGTTTCACAACGTACATGTATATCATACGTTCACCAGCTTGGCTGTGGTCATCATTTCACAACGTACATGTATATCATACATTCACCGGCTTGACAGTGGTCATCGTTTCACAACGTACATGTATATCATACGTTCACCGGCTTGACAGTGGTCATCGTTTCACAACGTACATGTATATCATACGTTCACCAGCTTGGCTGTGGTCATCATTTCACAACGTACATGTATATCATACGTTCACCGGCTTGGCTGTGGTCATTTCACAACGTACATGTATATCATACGTTCACCGGCTTGGCTGTGGTCATCATTTCACAACGTACATGTATATCATACGTTCACCGGCTTGGCTGTGGTCATTTCACAACGTACATGTATATCATACGTTCACCGGCTTGGCTGTGGTCATCATTTCACAACGTACATGTATATCATACGTTCACCGGCTTGACAGTGGTCATCGTTTCACAACGTACATGTATATCATACGTTCACCAGCTTGGCTGTGGTCATCATTTCACAACGTACATGTATATCATACATTCACCGGCTTGACAGTGGTCATCGTTTCACAACGTACATGTATATCATACGTTCACCGGCTTGACAGTGGTCATCGTTTCACAACGTACATGTATATCATACGTTCACCGGCTTGACAGTGGTCATCGTTTCACAACGTACATGTATATCATACGTTCACCGGCTTGGCTGTGG